CTCTCTCTCTCTCTCCTTCCAAGAAATTAGGAGGTTGGCCCCTCGAAGAGCCCTGAGTTAGGCAGGTTCCTAACAATTTGGTATCAGAGCCAGCATGACCAACACAAGAAACACCTCAGTAGGCACCCGAGTGGATCAGATGGAAGTCGAGATCCATCGAATGTCTTCAGATCTCAAGGAAATGAAGGAAAGTTTCACTACTCTCCTCCTTCGACTAGAACAGGGAGCAACAAACATTGACAGAGGAAGCCAAAAAGAGCGCAGCAATGAAAACAGCCGCAAAACAGTGGCGGCAACAAGAATAGCCAAAATCGACTTCCCCATCTTCTCAGGTGGTGACCCTGCTCCCTGGATTCTCAGAGCAGAAAGGTATTTCGATTACCATGAAACACCGGGGCAAGATAGGGTAGCTTTGGCTTCTGTGCATCTTGAAGGGGAAGCCATCCTCTGGTTTCAATGGTACCAAAGGGGGCACCCTCGCCAAACCTGGGTAAACTTCACCGACGCCATGACTGTCCGTTTTGGGTCATCTGGGTTCAAAGATCTTGATGAAAATTTGGCAAAGCTGCGGCAGGTGGGATCAGTAAAAGAATACCAGATGGAGTTTGAAAGGCTAGCCATGAGAGTCCAAGGGTGGACGGAGAAGGCATTGGTGGGAAGCTTCGTTGGCGGCCTAAAAGAAGAACTGTGATTGGAAGTGAAAGCAATGCAGCCCACTTCGGTCATCAATGCGGCAGCACTAGCAAGATTGTATGAGGACAAGTTCAGCCAAGCAAGAAAGGTGCAGCGACCATGGGGTCCGGAAGCAAGAAGGGAGCAAGAAAGGACGACAACACCAGACAAGGAGGAAGGAGTACTGGGCCCAGGCCCATTGGTTCCTTTCAAACAGCTGACCTAGGCAGAGATGCAAGCCCGCAGAGACAAAGGTCTCTGTTACAACTGTGAAGAGAAATTTGAGCCGGGCCATTGCTGCAGGAAACAGCAAGCGTTTCTCCTCCAAACAGATGCCGAAGAGGAAGACGACATCATCGGTTGCGGAGAATCTAACCCAGGGTGGGATACAATCCAGTGGCACGCCTGAAATATCCTTACAAGCCCTTATGGGACTTGTGTCCCCTCAAACAATGAGAGTTGCAGGGCTGATTCTAGGACGCCAAGTGTCAATCCTCATAGACAGTGGCAGCTCCCTTAACTTCATAACTCAAGTCTTGGTGGATAAAATGGGACTTCCGATGCAACCAACAACGACCTTTAC